ATTTCTTTGTGGAATTATACTCACACAAACATTCCACACTTGGATTCTGTATAACTATCCTTTATTTTTCAACATCAACATTCAAAGTGTAGGAGGAAATCACATCAGCAAGATAGCGAAAGAGGATAACCCAGGACCTTGTTCATTCACAGAAATGATTTCTAAAAAGTGCTCAAAGTAACTTTCAAGAGCTCTAGAAACCCAGTGAATCAATATAGAGGCCAAGTTTGGAGAGATAATGTTGCAAAGTGAAGTGCTAATTACCTCTGTGGACACAGTGAATGCTGTTAAAGAAATGGGTTCTAAAGTGAGAACTACCGTCCAAAATGATGGAATCAAATGGAAAGTTTTCACAAAAGGGTCAGAGACATAATACAAATATCTAGTCACTGTTTGTGAAGGTGACATCTCTATTGTAATGTCACTCAGGCTTGAGTTTCCTCTGTTCTAGTTCCTATCTAGCCTCTTGGTTGCTAATATACCTGGGGAAGCAATAAAAGACTGTTCAAGTTCTTGGGTCCCTGTAACCCAGGTGGGAGATCATGCATGATGTCCAGCTTCAGTGTTGCCAAACCCTAGCTGCTGTGGCCACTTGGGGGAAACAGAAGACAGAAACGGACTCTCTCTCTCTCCTCTTTTCAAATAAACACATCTCTTAACAATCTTATATCAAAATGACATATATTTTAAATCTAAGCACAAATACAGGTTAAGAGTGTAAAAATGGAAAAGTTGAAAATAGTAAAGAAAAGAGAACAGGATAGTAAAGGTTTTATCTAAAAAAAGATAGCTTTTCAGTAGAAAACAGCCAAAGGAGACCAAGAAATATGCAGTGACATGAAGGTCAGTTCAACACAAACACACAATAATCATAAATATGTACCCAACCAACTGACAACATTAAAGAGAGAAACAGAAGTCATAGCAGGAGTGTTTGGCATTCTGCCTCTGCATTAGGTATAACAGCCGGATAGAAAACTAACACAGAAATTTTGGTCTTACATAAAATTATGTATCAAATGAATCTTACAGACATAAAATTTCACCAATAGCAGCAGGTTACACATTCAACTCAAGTACGCATGGGAAATTCTATAGGACGGATCACGTTTTAGGTCATAAAGTAAATCTTAACAAATACAAAAAAAGTTGAACCATATCAAACATGTTTCCTATCTATAATGGAATGGATGTATAAATTAATAACACAAGGAACGCTGGGAATTTCACAAATGTATGCAAATCAAATCAAATACTCTTAGCCACCAACTCAAAGAAGAATTTGCAAACTGATAAAAAATATACCTTGAGATCGATTAAAGTGAAAACAGAACAAAACTCATGGGTTGTGATGAAGGTAGTGCAAGGAGGGAAATTTATTACTAAACTTTTTTAACAAGGAATAAAAAATGATCCCAAGTCATCAACTTAATTTTATAAGTCTAATTATGAATATACCTATATTACAAAATAGTGAACTCTATTGTTGAGTTATACCTACAAAGTCATGTCACATATAAAAAGCAGAACGCTGGAGTCAAGACTACACTAAAGCACTATAGCATTGTAAAACACTGGGACAATACGGAGGGGAGAAGAGGGAAAAAAGGAAAGAGAGGGAGGGGGGAAGGCCTATACCTACAAAATTCTAAAATTAAAAAAAAAAAACCAAGGAATTAAAAAAAAACTAATTAAAAAGCCAGAAATAGAACAAAGCAGGTTTGGGCGCTTAGCGATTTTAAGACACCTGTTACAATAACTGCAAGTCATATTGGAATACATGAGTTCAGTTCCTGCTCCCACCATTTCTTGCTAATGTAGACACTAGGAAGCAGTGGTAATCACTCATGTTATTGGGCTCCTGCCACCCATGAGGAACACCCAGACTGCATGATCTCTGCTCCTGTTTGATGTGACCCAATTCTGACCATTGTGGGCCTTCCAACTGAATGACTACTATATAAAGATAAAGCTGAAAATACATGTTAAAACTGGTGGGGAAGTGTTGCAAGTCTTGGGCCAGGATTGATGGAAATGAAAAATGGTGCAGACTCTGCGAGTATTCCTGAAAAATATGGAATTTCACATGAACTAGCAATTCCATCGTTGGGTGGGTGAGCCCAAAGGATGAAAAGAATGATTGCCAAGTGATACTTACACACAAATGTTCAGAGCAGCATTACTGAAAACAGCTAAAATGTGGAAGTGGCCCAAGTGTCCATCTGCATCTGGATAAACAGAATGTTACACTTGTATATGTGATGGACTCTAATTTGGCCTTAAAAGGAGATTCAATTTTGATAAAACTACACATGGGTAAACCTTAAAGACATGAGATGTTGAATGAAATAAGCCAATCACAGGATGCCAAATATATATGGAAAAAAAGTTTCCTTGTTGTAGCCAGATTCATAGAGACAGAAAGAAATGTTGTCAGAGGCTAGAACAAGAAGGGAGTAATTGTTCAATGAATGTGTGTAGCATTTCAGTTGGTGCAAATAAGTTCTCTAGATTGAAGGAATATGTGAATTATTTAATGCTATTGAACTATATATGTAAATTACCATAATGCAACACATTATGTTATTCATACTTTACAATTCAAGTGTAACTTTTGGTTTAAAGGAAGTGGGAAAAATTCAAATTTGAAAAAACTCTTAAAGTAAAGGAGGAACTTTGGATGGACACACTTGAAAAATAATACAGGTGTCAATATTTTCTCCTTCACTTTCAAGTGAGTTGAATGTTCTGTTGAAAGATGCTAAACTGGGCTCAGAAGATGGTAATGCACATATATGACTTCCAGTATTCATGAGTTCTTTCAGTGTAGTTGTGTGTTGTTTTACGCCTTGTAGGTGACTTCTATAGATAAAAGCATAAGAATAAGTGAGTCATAATTTCTTATCAAAGTGGCTGTCATGTCTGGTGGCAGATAGCATAAGAAATATGATTCCTGTTTTCCTTACAGTATCGTATTTTAAATGATTTTTGTTTTGCCATAGTTTTTCTCTGTGGGCAATTTCCACAGTGGAAGTGAGAGATGTTTCAGCACTCTCCTGCTTCCTGTCCATGTAGGAAAGAAAAAAATCTACATGTGACTGGCTTACTCCATTCAAAACCTGCCACACTGAACGCATTAATGTTGTTTCCCAAGGCTGTGAGAGGTGGTGGAAGGTGTGCAGATGAATATACAGCAGACATCCCACCCCAGTGCGTATTATCTTTGAGTTTGTCAAGAAAGAGCTTCTGCCCTTGGCAGTTGTTACAGTAGGCTTTTCCTGTCATTCGAAGGAAATGCTGTCTGGAATGTTAACTTGATAACTGCAATTGCTGCCAGCCAAATCTTAGCGAGGGGCAATTTACCAGAGCTGCTGCCTTGGAAGCCAACTGTAAAAGGTACTAGAATATCACTAGGAAAAAATGGCCCCTGCTAACTCAGGTGTTCCTGTGGGATTTCTTATAGAACCATTAGCTGGTCCTGAATTCTCTGAAACAGATCACAGCCCAGAGTGGAGACGCAGGCTCCCCAGTTCCGCACCAGCCAGGCTTTATGGGACAAGTCTGTTCTGGACACCTGTAGGTGCCTGGTGCCTCTGCCTGTCAGGATCCGTGGAATCAGAGGGGCCAAAGCCACTTGCAGTCAGCAGTCATGGATCAGAGGGACAGAATGTGTGTCGTCTGCTTCTATCTACAATTGGAAACTGCTTTCCTGGTCTTCAGAGAAGTTCCTAGGCTCATAAATATTACCAAAGAAAACCGGACAGCAAAACAATAGGAAATAGGGTTGTCTATCTGAAATCCAGGGATGGAACGAGGCATGAGTGATATGAGACAGAATTTCACACATTCAGTTCATAGTGAGCCTGAGGGGTGGGTGCTGGAATGAGTAAGGTCAAATCCAGGAAGCAAAACCAATTCTGCACCATTTGAAATGTATCCCATTGACGTAGCACATTCCAAACGATGCAGCCAAAAATCATTAAAAGAAAATTAGCTTACTTTAAAATTTGCTGAAAATATTTTAAGTCAGAATAACAAATAAACCAATGGTACTAAACAAAATTTAAAATTTAACTATTTAGAATGAATTTGAAGCGACTCTCTACACTCTGTTTAGAATTCTTACAGTGTCAAGCTAGTTCTGGTTTTGAGAATGAATGCTACAAAACATCTCCAGTGAATGTATGCTGTATTAATGCAGGACTAGGATAGGAGCTGAGAGGAGTTAAAATTTGACTAGGCAACAGAGAAGTCAAGTACTTAGGTATACCGACCTTCCTAATTTTCTTTAGAGATTTTCCAGGTGGGATTGTAACTTTTGCCCATCAACCAATTTCTTATCCTACTGTTGTTTCAATACTAAATGATTTCCAAAACATCCAGCACATTGTTAATTTGTGCTCAGGCTATGACAAATAAAAGGCATATAAAATATCACTTGGTAGGGACCATTCATTTGCCTTGTTGGCTGATGGAAAAAAGAAAATCAATGTTAATATGAAAAGCATTTCCAACCTCTGCCCCTTAGGCCCACAAATACTCAAACATATCAGCTGTTATTAACCCTTACCAGAAATAAATGCAGTGTTGCAGGGCATTAAGAGATGGATTGAGAGAAACCATAGTGATCGCAGGCAAAGCCACCAGAGTGGTTTACCTCCTCAGGGCTCTATGGGATTCAGGAAATTACTGCTGGCTATAGAAGAGATTAGAAAACCAACTCTGGACTACAGTCAGCTCAAGTAGTCGGCACTCTGCCCTAAAAGGATTTACAAACTTTGGATTTATACAGGACAAGTTTGGAGAGATGATGTCACAGAGTGAAGTGGTAATTACCTCTGTGGACACAACGAATGCTGTTAAAGAACTGGGTTCTGAGAATGGAAGACAGACAGGAAGAGAAGAGAAGGAAGGGAAGACGTACAGGGATATTGTACAACTCTCAATGCTTGAAATAAGACACAAGATAGCAGAACTGGAATCTAAACTCAGTGATGATAATGAAGATGAGAAGTTGTGGCACAAAAAAGGAATCTTTAAATACATTACTTAAGCAGCTAGAAAAACAAAAAAGGAGTCTTGAAAATCAAGTCAAAGTCTATGCGTTTAGACTGGAGCAAGAATCAAAGGCTTACCACAGGACTAACAATGAACGCCGTACCTATCTTGCTGAGATGTCTCAGGCTTCAGGTTCCCATCAGATTCCAAAAAGGCAACAACACATGGAACAACTGCCAAAAATGAAGGAGAATCTAGTGAAAATGGGAAGATTTAATCTAGTCCACCAGAAGACAGCAAATGCCAAGAAAGTACCAGTCAAAAGAGTTACAAGATCAAACCATCTTCCTAAACTCAATCCATGATTCCAGAATCTGGAAGATTTCCATTTCTTCTCCCCCTACTTGTTTTTTCTTTACCATCTAGCATACTCAACTTGAGAAGCTAAGGTTCAGCACATTTTTTTTTTCCCCATGGAATGAAATAAGACAGAACTGTTATGCTTCTCTTTAGCTTTCCATTCAGAAATGTTGTTCCTTTGTTTGCATGAAATTGCTTCTGTGACCTTAAAATAGCCAAAATACTTGGGATGTAAGAAGTATCCTAGGAAGTGTGCAGGTTAACCTCATCTCACTTGCTTTTCATAACAAATCTGTTGTCTGCTGTGATATTAACATTGTTATTCTCTTTGGCCACTAGCTAAAATGTGAGTTTAAGAAACGTTATGCTACTATAAACTATCATGCTTGGTATTCAAATCCTGGATTTTAAACAATCTGCAAATGCATTTAGAAATTTCATTCAGAATATCATGATATTATAGTAATAACTTTTATATTGCAATACTATGTTTTCTACCTTTGCCTCTACTTAACCATATCATCCTATATTTAAATTTGTTTGTTTTCTTTTTTTATTTTTGACAACCTTTACATATTTTAAATACCCACATATATTTAAATTTTATTAGAAATTAAACTTGTAACTTATACTGAGGGACTATGCTACTGTGATAGCATGGAGGAAGGGGACAATGGGGAAGGAAGAAAGGGAGGGAGGGAGAGTGGGGAACCATTTACCTAAAGAACTGTATTGTGGAGAGGCTCCTTTAGACTAACTCCACTGTTTAAGTAAGCAACTGCTTTAGACCAGTTTATTCCTATTAAGCACAGATTTTTCTCCCTGTTACTTCTTCAAGACCAAAAGCAAAAGGATCATTCTTTTTAAACTATTGGCACCAGTGTAATGACTCAACTGGCTAATCCTCAGCCTGGATGTGCTGGCATCCTATGTAGGCACTGATTTGTGTCTCAGCTTTCCTACTTCCTACTCAGCCTCCTGCTTGTGGCTTAGGAAAGTAGCAGAGGATAACTCAAAGCTTTGGAATCCTGCACCCACATGGAACTCCTGGAAGAGTCTCTTGGCTCCTGGTTTCTGGCTTTAGGTTGGCTCAGCTCCAACCATTGCAACCATTTGGGGAGTAAACCAGCAGATGGAAGAACTGTCTTTCTTTCTCTCTGTAAATCTACCTTTCCAATAAAAATAAATACATCTTTAAAGCAAAAAAAAAAAAAAAAAAAAAAAAAAAGAACTGGGTTCTAAGGTGAGAACTCCCTCCAGAATGATTGAATCAAATGGAAAGTTTTCACAAAAGGGTCAGAGACATAATACAAATATTGCAACAAGCAAGAAGAGGAACATAGCTTATATACCTGCATATATTCTTGTGAGTAATGAACATAATAAGCCCTGTCATACTAGAAAGTTCCAATAAGCTGTCTTCGACCCTTGGGATGGTTCTGGGCTCCCCCTTCAGGCTCCTTTGATGGAATTGAATGGAATTCCCCACGGTAGTAAAATATGCATAGCTGGGAGGATCCTCTTGTCATATTTGCAGAATGGGCTGAGAGACCCCAGAAAAGTCGACACAGGTCATCCAATTTACATCAGCATGAGGCTCGTTGGTTCTCTGTACTTCAAATGCAATTCTACGTGTTGTTAAAAACACTCACTTATCTCACATCCCTGGTGAGTTCACACCGTCTGCATATATGATGGGATCAACAGTGTTAATTTCTGCAAAATAAAGTTTGAGGTGATGTTACTTGGTGGCTTATTTTTTTTAGTGTATGGGTGTACATACGATTAATAGAGTAACCTTAAACATGTAAGTTATAAGAGCGCACAGCATAAACTGCCACTTCTATCAGCAGAATCCCATATAGAACTGCCAAAAATTTGTGAACTAGCATCCTCTATTTGAGTGCCTGGATCAGAGTCCTGCATCAACTTCTGATTCCAGCTCATTGCTAGGTGATGGCTCAAGTGTTTGATCCTAGGTTGAAGGCTCCTGACATTGGTTTGGGCTACTTTGGGCTGCTGTAACCATTTGAAAGGTGAATTCGAAGACAGAAAACTCTGTTCCTCTGTTTCTCTCTCCATCTCCCTCTCTCTCTCCTCCATCTCTTTCTCTTTCTCTCTCTCAAATGTAAATAATAACAAATAATATTTAAAATATTACAACTCTGTGTTTAAAGGTGATAATTCATAGTCTGAGCTACATGAACTTGCTTATTTCTTTGTAGGAGTTTGGTTTCACATTCAATTTTTTCACAATAAAATATCAGTGTAGTTACATTACAATTGCCTTGATGACATATCCAAGAAGAATCCACTCCCCCCTAGTCTTCCAAAAGTTTCTGAATGAATCCTCAGTTTGGGGGAAAGATTTAAGCTTTCATGCCAAGGCTTTCAATTATGTGATAGATACATGAGAAGAAATTGTATATAATTTTAAAGGCTCAGATCTTATACCCGCTAAGGCCAAGAGTTTTTCACTTGACCTACTCTCCCTTCTGCTTCCACCTTATACACTACACAGAGGACCATAATTCAAAGTCATTGTAGTTCTTCAGTGAGTCCTGTGCATGGCATAATAATAATAATGAACAATCCCAATTGCAAACATTTATTGGACACTTATAAAATGTCAAACTCTGCGCTCAGCTCTTAAAGCTTGTGATCTCCAAGAAATAGGAGCGGGGAAAGACCTCTTAGAAAAGATGCCAAAGCACAGGCAGTCAAAGACAAAATGAACTAATAGAATTACATCAAACTAAAAAGCTTCTGTACAGCAAAGGAAACAATTAACAAAATGAAGAAGCAACCAACGGAATGGGAGAAAATTTTTGCACATTACACAAGTGATAAAGGAATAATTTTCAGGATTTACAAAGAGCTTCAGAAACCCAGGGACAGTAAACAAAAACCAAAACGAAACAATCCTGTGAAAAAATGGGCAGAAGAATTGAACAGAGATTTTTCAAAAGAAAAAGAACAGATTCAAATGACTAGCTAATATATGGAAAGATGTTCAGGCTCGCTAATGGTAGGGAGGTACACATGGAAACCACGTTGAGCTACTACCTAACTCCAGTGACACAGGCCTACACTCAGAACTCTACTAACAACACCTGGTGGTGTGACTGTGGGGAGAAAGTTACTCTCCTTCACTACTGATGAGAGTGTATGCCAGTACAACCACTATGGAAACCAGTACGGAGAGTGCTTAGAAAATTGCAAATAAACCTGCCATATGACCTAGCTATCCTGCTCCTAGGAATACACCCAAAAGAAATAAAAACTGCATATGAAAGTGGATCTGTAATCCTATAGTAACAGCACCACAATCTACAATAACAAAGACATGAAAGCAGTCCAGATGCCCATCCAAATGGGAGTGGTTAAAGAAATGGTGGTACGTCTAATCCATGGAATATTACTCAGCCATTTAAAAGAATGAAATTATACGATTTGCAACTAGAAGGTTCCAGCTAGATGCCATTATGCTCAGTGAACTAAATCAATCCCAAAAGAAACAATAGCATATGCTCTAATATAAAAAAATTACGCAAATTAGGCTTTTGTTTTTCCCTTTTGTTACCCATGGATCGGTTATTTGGTGGCACATTTTTTCAATTCCATGGTGCTGTAATTGTTGTTGCTGTTGTTGTTTTAACTTCATACCTGTTGTTGACCTTATTTCATAGCTTTTCAGTTAGGAGAATATATAGTGATAGAGTGATAGAGATTACCATATCCAGATGTGAAGATACAATGCAACATACATCCTTACTTCCAAAGGCTCCCAATGAAACTGTTGAACATATCTGGACAATGGGATCCTGGACTGTCTGATAGTGTCTGTACCAGCAATGTCGGGGCACACTTAAATAACTGATGGAATTATAACTCCTTATGAAGGACTACAGTATTGTAACAATATGAGGAAAATCAGTCGGGGGTGGGAATTTGGAGGTGGTGGAAATCCCAGACTCTATGGAATTGTACCATAAAATTAAAAATTCAAAACAAGAAGCACACTATGGTATATGCAGCCTCGATAAATGACAGAATTTCTAATTTACACAGCGAACTTTCACTCACATGCCTCAGAGTCCCACAGCTAGTGAATGCCAGAACTGAGAACGAGCGCCAAGGTCTTGGCTTATTCTGAAGACTGAAGGACTGAGGCTTAAGCAAGCTATTTTTAAGTCTGTGCTTTTCATGCCTAACATCTGGGCTGCAAATGAAGGGCAAATTCAAAATATTTTCTCAGCTAACCATCACTGTCCTTTCTACTTTGGCTCTAGATGCTATTTCCTGACGCTAATGATTTAATCTGAAGACTATTGAAGCGAAATCGTGGATATGAAAGAGCAGTCCACAGCCTGTACGACAGCCATCCGCCTTTCTCTGTTGTTGCGAATTCCCCAGGGGATACATGCAACCCCATGAGCTCAGGCACTGACCCATCAGACTGACCTGCTTTGCTGTGATCAGTTAGGGGTCTGCATGTAGCCGTGGAGTTTACTTTAGTCCAAGAGGATGAAAAAGAAATTCTGCTGGACTCAGCGTCCAGTAAAACTTTTCTTTCTCAATAAAAACCGAAGATATGTGAGGGTAATTCAGAAAGTCTGTGGGATAATATGATTAAAAGGTTAGCTTATTCCGGTGCAAAAATTTTAAAATTCATTTTTTCCATCCTGTGAATTTTTCAAGCACTTCTAAAAAGTAATTGTTTAAATTTGGAAGACAGACAAACACATAGGGTTTCCATCTGCTGGTAGGTGGCAGAAACTCAACTACTTGAAACCTCACCCGATGTCTGGCATGGTGTGCGTTAACAGGAAGCTGGAACGAGGAGTCAGAGCCAGGATTCAAATCCAGGGACTCTGAGGCCATATTCTGGTTATCTCAAATGCCAGGCCAAATGCAAACCTGCCTTTAACTTTCTAAAGATGCCTCGTGAGCATGAATGTCAGTGTAACTCTTATTTTCATTTTCTGCGATCTTTTTGAATTGC